GTGTGTGTGTGTGTGTGTGTGTGTGTGTGTGTGTGTGTAGGTCAGAGAAGGACATGGGGTGTCCTGCTCTAGCACTTTCTGTCTTATTCTCTTGAGACAGGGTCTTAATCTGGAGGTGAGCTGGCAGCCAGCAAACCCTAGTGATCCTCTGTCTCAGTCCCCAAGAGCAATAGGCTTACAAGCATGAACACAGCCACACTGGGCTTTTTATGAGGGTGCTTGGGAGTCTAACTCAGGTTCTCATGCTTTAACAGAAAGTTCTCTTACTGAGCGCCATCTTCCCAGCCCAGTGGGTTTGGGTTGTTTGTTGCTGTTGTTTTCATTTGTTGAGACAAGGTCTCACTGTGTAGCCCTGGCTGACTCAGAACTCAACAGAGATCCACCTGTTCCTACCTCCCAACTGCTGGGATTAAAGGTGTGCGGCACTAAACCCAGCAGGTTAAATTTGAGTAGATTCATCTGCACATGGAAGTCTTGAAAATGCCAAGTTCCTAGTTGGCCAAAATGTGACTATTCTTTCTATTCCATCCCCCCATTTTCTTGGTAGCATCTTTAAGTTGTGCTTCTGACAAGATGAGAGTCATCATAAGCAAGTCATATCTGCAGTCACTTAACTACAATGAAGACAACTTGCAACTAAATGACCCAGCTTGCAGACCGAGTGTGACAAACGTCATAGAATTCTCTATCCCTCTGCACGAATGTGGTACAATTAAAAAGGTACTGTGAAACCCACAGTTGGGTTCTGTCAACTGCTGAACACATGCTGATGCACAGTCATGAAGTTTGCTGTATCTTTCACAAACCATATCAAATTCCCATGGTTAGACTAAGAAAGCATGTTCATAGATGTGCACACACCCAATCACAGAGAGGCAACATTGTCTCATTAATTTGCAGGGTAACTAGAGGATGTTGCTTTTCTAGAGACAAAGAGCTCTGAAATCTCACTGGAGAGGGTTGGAACATCTGTGGTCAGGGTTTTCTAGCTTACCGGGAAAAGTTGTGTGGATGATGCTACATTCTCTATTTGGTAAAATTGAGCTGGGTCTTAAGATCTTATTTTCCTTGAAAATGCAGAAAGCAAAAGCAAAAGCATATTTTAAATATGAAATGTTGTAAGTCTGTGATTTGGTCAGCACGCTTTAGCAATACCGTTTAAGACCTCAAGCATTGTCAACACTTTTAGGTCCCTTTCCGATACTTACTGTAAACTTAAACCACTTTGTGATTGAAGAGGATGGAGGCTAGACCAGAGGAATTGATAAGAAGTAAATATTTTCTTCTGTTCACTTTTTTCTTCCAAAATCGAACACACAGGCTTTATTATTTCTCAGATGTCTAGGGTGCCCTGTGGCCAAGCTTTCATCTGCACACGTTTGGGGAACTGCATGATTAGCCAAATTTACTTAGGCCTCTTTTGGGAAGAAATGTGTGGTAGAGCTCAGTCTTTTATTTATGGCACCCAGGGTCTCATACATGCTAGGCAAGCCCTCTGCCACCCAGCTATATCCTCAGTCCTCTTTTAATTTTTGTTTCAAAACAGGATCTCATTAAGTTGTCCATACTGGCTTTGAACTCTGTAGCTCAAGTGGCTTTGAACTTGTGATCCTTCTGCTTCAGCCTGCCTAGGAGCTGAGGTTAGAGGTCTGTGCCAACAGGCCTGGTGGGGTGAGTTTACAGTCTTTATAGGACTGGAAATTTGCATTCCAGAATGATGTTAATGTAATGGAAGGAAAGTCCTACCCAATTTTATCTTTCAGTCTTTCTAATACAAGCTGTATCTTTCACTTTCTTCCTTCTGCAAGTCATTGCTCAGGTAAAGTACCTTTAAGGCTGAGAGTATTTGAAATGAAAGCTGTTCTCTTGTGACTTACAGAAATTAAGTTGCTACCTCAAAGTCTTATCCTTCTCTGTGCTCTTAATATTGATGGGTTAATGTTAATTCCTTCCCATTCTGCAGATAGAGGACCACACAATCTCTTATACCAACAAAATCGCCTTCACCGAGTCACCAGTTTCTGCAGTGATCACCCGTCAGAAGCACATCCAGATTGTGGTGACGTGTGAGATGGAATATAATTCTACTGTGGAGATTATGTACATAACTGAAGATGACATCATACAGAACCAAAGTGTCCTGGGCAAATACAACACCAGCATGGCTCTTTATGAGTCCAACTCATTTGAAAACCTTGTACACTCACCGTATTTGGTGGACTTGAACCAAACTCTTTTTGTTCAAGTCAGTTTGCACACCTCAGACCCAGGTCTGGTGGTGTTTCTGGACACCTGCAGAGCCTCTCCCACGTCTGACTTCTCATCTCCAACCTATGACTTGATCAACAGCGGGTATGCACTCATGTAGTGTATCTCTGTATTTGCCAGCAGAAGTATTATTATTTTTTCTTCTTTTGATGTGTGCATGTGTTCATAGGTGAATGAGTGAATGTGCACATGTGTGCATGTGGAGGCTGGAGATTGACATTAGTCATCTTCCTCAAAGACTCTCTGACTTATTTTTTGAATTAATTAATTTTTCTTATTCATATTTATGTGTGGTATGTGTAGGCATGCATTTCAATTGTGAATTGGCATACATGGGTATTCACATGCATGAGTGGATGTGTCTGTGGAAGCCTGAGGCTGATGCCAAGAGTCTCACTCTACCTTTTATTCATTGAGGCTGGGTGTCTCAGTTGAACCTAGAACTTGCTGACAGACTATTGTGGCTATCCAGCTTGCTTTGGGGTTTTCCATTTCCACCTTCTGGGTGCTGGAATCACAGGTGGGCTACCACACTCACCTGGCTTTTATGTAGGTTCTGAAGAGGGATACAAATTCTGGTCATCAGACTTGCATGACAGGTGCTCTAACCACTGATCCATCTCCATCTCCTCATCCCCTCATTTTTTTTCTTTTTTTGAGATAGAGTCTTTCATTGAACCCAGAGTGTGTGGATTCAGCTAGGCTGGCTGGCCATAAAAACTCAAGCATTTTCCTCACTCTGCCTCCCTAACACTGGGATTGCAAGCATACTAGACTTCCATGTGAGTGTTGGAACTCAGGTTCTTATGGCAGTGTGTAAAGCACTTTGCTGATTGAAAATCTCCCCAGCCCACAGTAGTAATGATTTGAATAAAGTAAGTTTTGTAGTTACAAACAACACTTATTATCTATCGATGTGTGTATACATATTTATATTTATGTATATAAAAGTTTCCTAGTATGGAATTCTATTAAGCTTAATCATTTAAAAATTGTTACTGGGTACTAGCCACAAATAACTCATGTTAAAATATTTAGATAGGCTGTCTGTATTCCTTGGTTTTAAAATTTGTTAGTGGAGAAAAAATACTACTTATGTTTTGTCTAGAAGGACCTATTTGTGGTTTTGCTTTTTGTTTACTTTGGCTATTTTCTTCAAGGTCTTGGAAGGTTCTTTAACGTGTGCCATCCTTAGAACATGATGTTCTCAAGACAATTGATTTAGCACCTGTTTAAAAAGAAAAAGCAGGTGGTGTTTTGAAAAAGACTCCCTTTTCCTCTAAAAGTTGATGAGCAATCAGCTGTACTTAGCAATCAATATTGAGCACTTTGGTATTTGAGTCCTAGTGCACAGGTGCTGATATTCCAGTAATTCACAGGCAAGGAATCTCAGAGCAGGACTTTATTAGCTTTCCCAGAACCAGTGCCACCGCTCAAGCTCACAACACTCTGAATCACTGATGTCTTTCTAGAGCAGTTCCTAGATTCACACATTGAACAAAGCTTGCATCATCTCACTTTTGTGCCGAAAAGCCTCCTGGCACTTTCTGACTATTCCTAAATTGTGTTTCAGATGTAGTCGAGATGAGACTTGTCAGGTGTATCCCTTATCTGGACACGATGGGAGATTCCAGTTTAATGCCTTTAAATTCTTGAGACATCTGAACTCTGTGTATCTGAAGTGTAAGATTTTGATCTGTGACACCAATGACCAAAAGTCTCGCTGCTATCAAGGCTGTGTCTCAAGGAGCAAACGAGATATTTCTTCATACAAGTGGAAGGCTGATTCTGTCATAGGACCAATTCGCCTGAAGAGAGACCGAAGTGCAAGTGGAAACTCAGGCAAGAACATACTATTCATGATCTAAGGACACTTTGTGGCTCATAAAATGTGGCTCAAATCTGTTGTTCCTGAGATGTACAGTTTAGAGTTTTAAAGTAGAAATTCTAGCAAACAAATGACTGAGTACACAAGATGAATACTTCCATTATATAAGCATATATAAATGCATAGCACACTGTACTATGCCATTTGTGCAGCTTTTAAGAGTGTACATGTACTATTTTTAAAAGGAAACTTCCTTTAGATTCCCAGTTCCTTGTTATGGATGTCTAAGCAGACAACCAAATTAGAAAAAAAAAAAAAAACAATCCTATTTTTCTGAATGAGGAACAAAGTTAACCAGTGCCCACACCAGAGCCTATTTGAGGAAAAAGTTACCTTTTCAAAGTAGACAATATCATACTAACATGGGACAACCTTCTTACTTCTGGGCATATTGAAACCTGATAGGCTGCATAGGAAAGACTCAAAGACAGTCCAGAGTTAAATGGCCTAAGATAAAACATAAATATAATGAATTCAGATTGTTTGAGAATTGTCTCCCTCTATTAAGTTGAAATTACATATTATTAATTCATGTATAAGATTCATAGGGCATAACATGACATGAATACTACCACTATTTTGTAATACTAATACTAAAACTATTTCCAATTCCAGGGCTTCTGCCTCAAACACATGCAGCAGAAACTCCGAACCAACCTCTCAGCCCTCTGCACCTCTTTTCCTTTATGGTCCTCGCTCTCAATGTGGTGATTGTGGCTGCAGCAACAGTGAGGCATTTTGTAAGTCAACGGATGGATCACAGATACCAGAAGCTGCAGGTCTACTAGCTGTTGACTCTAAGAAGGCTCCTTGTCTTCTCGAGGGTGTTGGATGAAACAGATCCATATGGCTACAAGGGTTAGGAATAAACCAGGAAGGTCTGAACAGTCAACACACACACCTTTATGTTCCTATCACGGTGACAGTGTGTTTCATTATGGGATGGCTGAAATAAATAAATAAATATTGTATTTGGTCACCTCTTTTGGATGCAGTCTCACTATGGAATTCTGACTGGCCTGGAACTTGCTATGTAAACCAGGCTGACCTTGAATTCACAGAGACTCTGCCTCTGCCCTCCCCAGTGCTGGAACAAAAGGTGTGAGCCACTACATATAACTCAGCTTCCTTTTTAGATGTTAAGTAAAATGTGTCATCTATAAAAGTTAAGGAATAAATGCAAATATGCTACCCTTTGAATGAAAAAGGGTTATCATCTGAAACTGAAGTGAAGAAGTGAGCTCTTCGATCCATTGCTGATGCGCAGTCTGAGTACGTCACCCTTGTGCAGCTCACAAGGGGGCTTTGGTGGGAAGAACCTGATGGTAAAATGAGACTTCAGACTGTTTTCTGAGTAATGAGATAAAACATTCCTCTTCTATTTCCTGTGGGTCTGAGCAGATGTTATTGAAGGCCCTGAAACGAACTACTTTATACCTGCCAACATCAAAACTAATTATGTTAGACAAAAAAATATAACCCCATCTTTCCAGCAAACAGCACATACTTTCATGGTCCAGATAGATCTCAGCAGGTAGCTGCATCCCAGAATGCCAAAGGGTTTTTTAGCATTTGCTTCTTTCTATGTTATGTTACATTTTCTTCTATAAATATATATCATGTATAGCATGTGTTAAATGGAATCTGCTGATACCCAACAGATATAAAAGACACCACCCCAGTTCTTACAGGCCTGCTGATTTCCCTGCCCTAAATCAAAGCATATATTCCTCAGTTACTTTTTTAACATTTCAGTGCTGATCTTTCAAAGGCTTCCCAAATATTCATGTATCGATTCTGCTCTCTGACTACCCATATAACCTAAATCTCACTACCACAAACTCCTTTTTAATATAGCATCGAAACACCTAAAAGTTTCGCTAGTTTGTAGGCAGATCATGTTGAATATTTTAAACATTTATTTATTTTTCTTTCACATGTAAGTGTGTTTTGCCTGCCTATATGTATGTGTACCGTGTGTGTGTGTGTGTGTGTGTGTGTGTGTGTGTGTGCGTGCGCGCTCGTGCGTGCTGGTGCCTGGGAAGGCTGAGAAGAGGGTACTGGATGTCCTGGAACTGGAGCTAGACAGTTGTGAGACAGCTGCCATGTGGGTGCTGGGAGCTGAACTTGGGTCCTCTGAAAGAGCAGCAAGTGCTCTAAACAAATGAGCCACCTCTCTAACCTCACATTAGGTTCTTAAGACAACACAACTGTCTGGTCTGGTCACTGCCTGTCAGCCATTTCACTATCAGGAACTGATTATAAGTTCCGTGCTGGCCATAATGATAGATATTCAGAGACACTCCAGGCATGAATATGCCATTCTAAGAAAATGATCACCTATTGCGACTCTGAGGAGAGTGTAGGCATGGTTACTATTGTAAAGTGATCAAAGGTCCTAGGCCTAGAGTCAGTGGGCTAGGAGCGGTTCTTATGTTTTTCCTGTTTAGATCTACTGTTCAGGGTACCTTCACCTTTTCTCACTACAGTTTACCAGAATGGTTGATAGGAGTTAGCATCATCTGGGGATACGGTAAATGAAGGAGAGAATTTCCTAGCAACCAGGGACATCTGTGCTCCACTCCTCACCGGTGAAGAGACATCTTTGGATAAGGGCTGCTCAAATGGAGCTGTGAACTTGGAAAAGGCAGCTGTTTTTATGGAAATTCCTAGGGAACAGTGATGCTGAGCCCCTAGCCAGTGGCACTCCCAGAAGCCTAGTGAAAAAGTGCCTCTATTTGAGGGCATTTGATGTCACCTCTGGACACCTACTAACTTTTCTTCCTAAAACATGGCTTTCAGAATGTCTTCCAAAGCAAAATCCACTTCTAAGGCTTATCAGGAGACTTACTTAACCAAGCTTTTCAGAAAGGCTAAATGCAAAGGGATAGGCATGGAACACCAGGCACATGCCAGTCAGAGGGTCAGGGGTGGGCTAGCATCCCTGGTTTTCTCTGCTCCCCTGAGGTGATCACCTCACTCTCAGCTCTCCATTCTGGGCCTTCCCAGAATGAAAGGATTCCAGTTCCTTTCTAAATAGGAGTGGGAGTGGAAGTCCAGGCTCCCACCTGATCAGCTCTGATAGGTATGGATGGGGCCTCACTGCTGCCTATAGGTGATGAGCACCTCAGACTCCATTCTGCCTTCTCTGAAATCATCCTGTCCTGGTAGGAGATGGAGGCAAGGATCCTAGTCTCACCAAGGTCATAATTGGTGAAGAACATTTTTGTAACCAAACTGAAATGGTCCTAAGGTAATGTGACTTGTTCATCAATTTTTCACCTCAGTACCACAGAGTTAGCCCCCAGGTCCCACCAGACACTGCCTTCCTCCCTTCAGAAGGTAAGACTATTGTCATCTTCTTTCTCACATGCTCTTTATCAGCAGAGTCCCAAGCAATTTCTTGGAAAAAATGAGGACTTGTTTTAAATATTTCTACTGAGTATTTCTGGACAGCAGAAAGAACAAAACCCATTGACTCTGTTCAAATCCATGTTCTTAAAGGGAATGCACTGAGCAGGATCACATGTTCAAAGCCAACCTGGGATAGGCAGTAAGACCCTGTCTCAAAAGGTAAAACAAAACAAAACGAAAATTCTGAAGGTACTGTTACAGCACAGCCTGCTCTTCTCCTTCCAGAAAACAGGGAGATTAAAGAGAGGGCAGTCCTCTGCTTCAGGAACAGAACGTTACTGACCTGTTCTTGTTTGCTCTTCAGCTTTCTTGGGTAGTTTTCAGGGTTCCCAGATGTTTCAAGAACATGACTGTGTGCACACTTGGAGCTCACAGAGAAGCCCCTGGCTTCTTACGACTCTGTTTCAGCCCTCTCATTTGCAAGCCGAAAGACAACCCCCCCCAGAAGCTAGGCTCTGATTTGTTCCCTTCAGAACAAAGCAACTGAATGAAACCATTTGAAAGCTGTCATCAATGGCTTGTGTCATTCAGTTGTTCCACTTAAAAGAATTGAAAGAAAATGAACAGTGGCTCCCCGGAAAACAATTAATTAATTAATTTATTTATTTATCTATTTATTTTTACAAGATTACTGGCAAGATCTGGGAATGAATTCTCACATTTCCAGAACAGAAAGAGGCCCACCCACCTATCAGCACCCAAGGTAGACATTTAAAAACAATCTTTAATTGCCCACAGGGTAAAGAGAGAACCCTGCTTTTTCTAATGTTTTGTACATTTTAAGAAAATGATCAAGTTTTTAAGAGTGAAGAACAACAAAATCAGCTTTTTTTTTTTCTTTTCTTTTTTGCCTACAAACAGAGCAACTGCCTCAGAAGTTAGTGCTCAGGATTATTTAGTGACAAACCCCAAAGAAGCAATCCTTGGGTTTTTCCACCCATCTAAATGGAGAGTGTAGACAGTGCAGTCAATGTGTGGCTTCTGAGTGGCCAAACATTGCTTCCTGGTAAGAAACAGACTTTGCTTCCAGTTTCCTGACACACTCGTGAGAGTGAGAGAGATCACACCAGGGCCTTGCTTTGATTATCTGTTCTGTGGATCTTCAGTGGTCCCACTGTTTGGAAATACTCAGGTGGCTCTTCCCCGACCTCTGTAGAGCCTGTGCCTCTCCTTTCCCGCCTCATACAGCCTTGTGAACATCGGGAAGAATGGTCTCCGAGTCGGCAAACAGCAACCTTACACTGCAGGTAAACCACATCATAGCTTCTGAGGAAGCTGAAGGCGTTGAACTTGAACTGGGCCACGTTCTTCCCAGGGGTATGGAGGTTGGAGTAGGAATTGTCTTTGATGCATCTGACAGGGAGAAAAACCCAGACCTAGAAGGTTAACTAGTGTGTGATATGAATTTTCTCTAACCCACATTGAAAGGTTCAGGCTTTAATACTGATTGGCAATATCTCTTTAAGAGACAGACCCTGTCCCCTGACAACAGTCAGGGCACGCACAGGAAAACATGCTGTGTCATCATCACATCACCCGCCATGAATTATGCCTGCTGAGGACTCTGGGCATGCGTGGAAACTCAGTGCACATGCACAGTCTTCTCTTTAAAAGTTCCAACTTCCCTGCTGCTCTCTCTCTTCTCTCTCTCTCTCTCTCTCTCTCTCTCTCTCTCTCTCT